ATTTAGGTCCCCCGCGGACGACCTAGGGACACGCTGGAGAGGTCTATGTCTCTCAGTGGCCTGGGAAACGCGCTTGGGTTCCCCCGGATGAGCTGGAGGAAGTGTGTGTGGATTATGGAAGTCTGGGTGTCTCTGCTTTAGACGCTGCCCCCGCGCCGGCACGTATTAACAGCGGAAGGCACCAGGGATGTGGATGGAAATGGATGGCTTATATTTATATTGCACTTTACATTTGACACCAAATCTCAAGAGTGCTACAAACAGGCAGCATAAATAAAAGCAAACACAATCAATCAGATAAACGACCACAAAAAAATTATCAGTACGGCTTTAGTTAAAACTGGGTTTTGAGTCCTTTTTAAAAGCTTCCCCGTCTGTGGGGCCCTGAGGTGGTCCGGGGTGGGCGTTCCACAGTACGGGGAGCAGCGGCGCCTCGAAAGGCCGGTCCCCATTTTCTTGAGCCGTGTCCTGGGCCGGGAGCAGGACGGTGCTGTTGGCCTGACCGGGTCTGCATGAGGAGTGTGGACTGGTGAGGAGGTCAGTGAGGTGGGGGATCACCGTGGAGACAGTGGTGGTGTGTGCAGGTGGACTCCCTTGTCTGTTATAGGAGGCCCGTGACGGGGTGCCAGTGGGAGGGTGTGAAGGCTGGGGGGGGGCGGTTGTTGTGCTCATGCTTCCGCACCCTATCCAAGGACCCTGGCCACGTGTTATGTAGTATGGAGCTTTTGAAGGCTCCTGCCAGGATCCCCCTGAGGATTGTGCGTTGCAGTAGTCAAACCTGGTGGCGACAAGGCATGGACGAGCTTCTCTGCAGCCCGGGAGAGAGCGCGCAAAATTGATGTATATATTGTGGACTTAAAAATCAGGGAAATGGTTGTGTTGTTGCTTTAGGCAGACACCAGTGCTCAGTAATTATTTATTTAGAACATTAAAAATTGCAACTTGGTTATCGATGAAGTCATTTACGTATATAGGATTAGATAATAATATAATAATAATGCAATTTAAAAAATTGATGAATAATTAAGTATTTTATTTAAAAAGCCTCAGGCGCCCGTTCAGACCGGGTTTCAAGTTAGAAGTTGATTTTATAGATTATCAAGCAATTATTATTTAATGTAAATATGTAAATATTTATGCGCCAGACTTTTATAGTTCCTAAATCAAAGCAGAAGTCCGTATCGGAGAAATTGAAAAGTTGTCGCTTCTTCACGAAACAAGCCACGGCAAAGACCTGACGAGAGGGTAACTGCTGTGAATGGGAGGCAGCAGGAGCATTTGTTCAGAGGGGGCGGAGTAGATATGATATTAACCCTATTTCGCAACAGCTGTTATCTTGCGTTCAGATTTCTTATTGTGGGAAAGTGAGCAGTCGCAGGTAGTATAACACCATTACTAGCAGGTAGTAGCAGTAGCTTTAGCGTAGCAGCTGTGCAGTAGCATTAGCAGCAGCAGTAGCGTAGCAGCATATGTAGCATTCGCCAGTAGATTAGCAGTAGCATTAGGCCCGTTTAGCAGCAGTAGCAGTGGCATTATCAGCAGTAGCTTAGTAGCATTAGATGCAGTTAGCAGTAGCGATTGCTGTCGTAGCAGAAGCCTTAGCATTTAGCAAGCAGCCAGCAGTAAACCCCTTACAGATTGTCTTACGTGCAGTTTAACCACACATACATATCTGCGTAGCTGGATGTGTCTAAAAACGCCTCAGAACGTTCCAGGCCCGTGCTCCTGAGTCCTCTGGCGACGGTCCAGCTTCTGAGTGCTCGTCCACAGTTATGGTTTCCACTCACTTTTATGATTTGTTTGGAATGGGAGTGAGAGATGTTATAGGCCGTGGCGCACGTGCGACAGGAAAATAACAGGCTGACAAGCTCGGAGTACTTCCTGTGTTTGGGTGGAGACAAATCCTGTGGGGGAGAGAGAGGGAGGAGAGCGAGGGAAAGAAGAGAGGGGCGAGGGGAGAGAGAGGAGGAGTTAGGGGTGGGAGAGAGGAGACAGAGAAAAAAGCGGAGAGAGGGGAGCTGTATGTCGATAGAGAGAGAGAGGAGTGAGCGGGAGAGGGAGAGACAGACGAGATAGGAGTGAGAGCGACAGAGAAGGGAGAGGGAGAGAGAGAGTGAGAGGGGGATCGAGACGAGAAGAGAGAGGGGGAGAGAGAAAGAAGCGAGAGGAGTGAGAGAGAAGAGAAGGGAGAGGAGGGGGGTGGGATAGAGAGTAGAGAGAGAAAGTCAGGGGAGGGAGGAGAGGACACAGAGAAAAGATAGCGGTGCATGAGGGAGGGGGAGAGGAAGAGAGACAGATGAGGGAAGCGAGGGAGGGAGAGAAGGGAGAGGGGAAGAGAGAGCGGTGGAGGAGAAGAAAGAAGAGAGAGGAGTGAGAGAGAAAGAGCAGGGAGAGGAGATTGATGAGCGAGGGGGAAAGCGGTGAGAGAGGAGAGAAAAAGAAGAGAGAGAGGAGTGAGAGAAAAATTAGAAGGTCGAGGATAGAGATGCGAGAGAGTTGAGCAAGAGGGCTTGGGCTTGGCCCGCCCAAGACACATCTGGCACATGGAAATCTATGTGGAGGAGAGCTGGGGTTCAGAGCCACAGGTGAATTAAAGGTGATGTCTGTAAGTTTCAATTATATTTGATTATAAGCATTTTTTCACCTATGTCGATAAAATAAGCATCAGTTTATATGGCCCTTTTTTGGTCTCCCATCCACAGAACCAACCAAGGCCCTGCCCTGCTTTGTCAGCTGTCTTAATTATCCACAATGCCATATAGAAAATGTAATAAAATCATCGAGGAGAGTGGAAAGCTCAGTGTGTCTCTGAATATTGTTGAAAGTAGCAGCTGTTTGTTTCGTCAGTCTCTGTGTAAGCCATGAGCTCATTCATTTCAATGGACCGCTGTCAAAACTCCAACACGGAAACTTACATGAGCCAAATTTGTATTGGAAGAGTCCTCATTGTCTTAGTTAATTAAAGACTTTGTCACATTAGATCTCAATATTGATCCAAAAACAATATAAATGTACAGTCAGATATGTGTATGTGGTCATTAGAGCCATTTAAAACAGGAAACAAAATCTATGGTGTCTCCCTTGGTCTCTCTCTGGTCTCACTTTGGTTCGGTGGTCTGGTCTTCTCTTTGGGCTCTCTTGGTCTCACTCTTGGGTCTCTCCTGGTCTCACTCTTTGGTCTCTCTACTGGTCTCCTCTTGGTTCTCTCTGGGTCTCACTCGTTGGTTCTCATCTTGTCTCACTCTTGGTGTCTTTCTGGTCTACTCCTTTGGTGTCTTTTTGGTTCTCACTCTTTGGTCTCTCTCTATGGTCTCCTCTTGGTTCTCTTTTGTCTCTCTATTGGTCTCTCTCTGGTCGCGTTCTTGGTTTCTCTTTGGGTCTCTCTCTGGTCTCCTCTTGGTCTGTTCTCTGGTTTCTCTTTGGTCTCTCTCTGGGTCTTCTCTCTCTGGTCTCGTTTTCTCTGGTTTCTCCTTGGTCTCTCTCTGGTCTCTCTCTCGTCTGTTCTGGTTTCTCTTTGGTCTCTCTCTGGTCTCTCTCTGGTCCCTTTCTCTGGTGTGTGTTGTAAATTCCTCACGTGTGCCTCAGGAGCTCTGTGTGAGGCTTCAGCACCAAACATCTGCTGCAGAAACACGACGACTTGCGTCATTTCAGCCTCCCTCGGTCACAGTAAAGATCAGGGACCTAATTTTATGTGTCCACTATACTACTGCTGCTGCTATCACTAAAATATTACATTTGTCTGGTCTCTGGTCTCTCTCGGTTCCTCTTTGGTCGCTCTCTTGGTCTCTCTTTCTGTCTCTCTCTGGTCGCGCTTTGGTCTCGCTCTAGTCTCTGGGTCTCTCTCTGGTTTCTCTCTAGTCTCTCTCTGGTCGCTCTATGGTCTCCTCTGGTCTCTTTCGTCTATCTCTGGGAGTCTCTCTTCGTCTCTCTCTGTGTCTTTCTGGTCTCTTTCTGTTCTCTCTCTTAAAACTTGACTTTCTTTAATTTTCTTCCGGGGACTGAGTGATTATAATAACACCAATATAATAGAAACATTCTGTGGGTATATTAAACAAAATTAAACTTTTAAAACAAAACCCAGGAGAAAGTCCTTGTTTTGAAGGTCTCTGAAGTCACCTGTCGTCTCGACACGGGGGAATAAGAATTGTATAGGTAACCAAGTCCTCATCCCAGGTATCTGGCACCCTTCAGAACGCTAATATTTGTGTTGATCTCAATCCTGGATCCAAACCACTTCAAAAGATATGTTTGTTTCCAAATCCTGGAGGAGCACGTAACCACGGTCAAACAGACTGGAGGTAAAAACGTCAGCTAGCGACGCCCGAGGCCGAAGCTGCAGACCGATTCCCCACTTAACCTGTCATTACGGGGGAGAGGGATCTTTGAGGGGACAGAGGACTGAGGGGGAGAGGATGTCACAATTATGAGGGGGGAGCGGCGAGAGGGGCGGCAGAGGAGGAGAGGAGGAGAGGATAGGGGGCGGGGACAGGGCAGGAACTGAGGAGGGGGAGGAGTCCACTAATGGGACTATAGTGCTCAGCCGAAAGGGGGGGGGGGGGGTGAAGAGGGAGGAGAAGTTGGGGGAGGGTCAGGGGAGGACGGGGAGGAGGGGAGGATGGAGAGGGCGGTGGATGACTTACCATACTGTAATATATATTGTATTGTCCCAAACAGAACGAGAAACAGTAAAAGGATGGGTTAGATAACAATTTCAGTCTGGTCCAGTCTGGGTCCAAGTCCTGGGTCAGTCCTGGTCAGTCCTGGTCCAGTAGCTTAAAATTGAACTTACACATGTGTTATATGATCACTTTCAGATAATACAACATTCCCATTGACTTTTCCGTAGAGTTTGGCAGGAAAACGGTCCATCCCTCTCTCCTCGCTTCTCCTGCTCACCTCTGTTCCCTCTCATGTTCCCTTCATGTTCCCTCTCTTGTTCCCTCTCATGTTCCCTCTCCTGTTCCTTCTCTGTTCCCTCTATGTTCCCTCTCATGTTCCCTCTATTTCCCCTCTCTGGTCTTCCCCTTGGTCTCCACTGGTCTCTTCTGGGTCTCTTCCTGTTCTTCCTTTTTTCTCTTGTGCTCTATCCTGTTCTCTCCTTCTCTCTCCTGCTGTGCCCTCGGTTCTTCATCTCTCTTCCACTCTCTCTTCTCTCTCTGCTTCTCCACTCTCTCCACTCTCCTCCGCTCTCGCCCGCCTCTTCCCCCCCCCCTGTCAGCTGAGACTATGTCCCATGTATGTGGACTCCTTCCGTGTCCTGCCTGTCCTCCCCCTATCCTCTCCTCCTCTTTCCTCCTCTGCCTCCCCTCTCCTCTTCCCTCATATTGTGGACTCCTCTCCCCCTCTCCCCGCAGATCCTCTCCCGTAATGACAGGGTACGTGTGATCGTCTGCTCGGCTTCGGCCTCGGGCGTCGTTGCTGCTGTTTTTAACTCTAGACAGTTGCGTGGTTACGCTCCTCCAGGATTTGGAAAAACAAACATCTTTGAAGTGGTTTGGATCCAGGTTTGAGATCACAACCACAAATATTGGGTTTGAGGGTTGCCAGATACCGTGGGATGAGGACCATGTGTTGACGAAACAGCTGTCTTATCCCCCGTGTCGTGACCGGAAGGTGACTTCAGAGACCCGATTCAAAACAAGAGTTTCTCTGGGTTTTGTTTTAAAAGATTAATTATGTTTAATATACCCAAGAATGTTTAATTATTTGGTGTTTTGTAATCACTCAGTCCCCCGGTCAAGCAAATCAAAGACACCAGTCAAGTTTTTTAAGAGAGGACCGACAGAGACCGAACGGACACCAGAGAGAGACTAGAGAGAGACTACAGAGAGACAGAAAGCGACCAGAGGGAGCCAGGAGAGGAGACCAGAGAGAGACTTGAGAGACACAGGAGAGAGGGACAGAGAATAGAGCGAGAACCAAAGCGAGACCAGAGTGCGGACTTAGAAAGAGAGACCAGAGAGAGAGGACCCAGAGAGGGAACCCAGAGCGAGCCCAGACAGAAAGAATGTAATATTTTGTTATAGCAGCGAGCAGTAGTATAGTGGAACATAAAGTTATGTCCCTGAGCTTTAACTGTGCCGAGTCTGCATGAGCAGTCGTCGTGTTTCTGCCAGCAGATGTTTGTGTCAGAAGCCTCACAACTGGAGCTCTGAAGGCACACGTGAGGAATTTACACAACCCCAGAGACAGACCAAAGAGAGACCAGAGAGAGACCAAAGAGAACCCAGAGAAAGAGGAACCAGAGAGGAGACCAGAGAGAGGACCAAAGAGAACCAGAGACCGAGACCAGGAGAGACAGAGAGAGACCAAGAGAAACCCGAGAAGAAGACCAGAGAGAGACCAGAGAGCTGACCAAGAGAAACCAGGAGAACGAGACCAGCGAGGACAAGAGAGAGACAAACGAGAGCCAGCGAGTGCCCGAGAGAGACCAAAGAGGGGAGACCGGAAAGACACCACAGGTGAGACCAGAAGACACCAAAGAGTGGACCCGAGTGAGACAAAGAGTTGAGACGGGGAGAGAAGACCAAAGAGTGAGACCAGCGAGAGACCAAGGAGTGAGACAGAGAGAGACAAAGATGAGGACCAAAGGAGAGGACCAAAGAGAGGACCGGACAACGAGACCAAAGTGAGGACCAGGAGAGACCAGGAGACCAATAGATTTGGTTTTCTCTGTTTTTATGCTCTAAAGACCATACACATATCTGACTGTACATTTATATTGTTTTTGATCCTATTGAGCTTTAAATGTGACAAAGTCTTTAAGTAACTACGACAATGAGACTTCTTTCAATACAAATTTGACTCAGTAGTTTCCGTGTGTGGGTTTTGTCAGCGTTCCATTGAAAAGAATGAAGGCTCATTGCTTTACACAGAGGACGAAACATACAGTGCTACTTTCAACAATATTGGAGAGACACACTGAGCTTTCCTCTTGCTTCTCCGCTGATTTTTATGACATTTTCTTTATGGCATTGTGGAAATTAAGCAGCTGAGGTAAGAGGGCAGGGCCAGGTTGTTCTGTGGAGGAGGACCAAAACGTGCCATATAAAAACTGATATGCATTATTTTATGTCATGTGGGGAATACATATGCTTATAATCAAATATAATTGAACTTACTAGTACATCCCCTTTAATTACCTGTGGCTCTGAAAATCCCGCCTTCCTCCACTAGATTACATTGTTGCCCAGCAGTGTCGTGCGATGCAGCAGGCCTCTTTCTCTCCTCTCATCTCTATCCTCACTTCTCTTTTTCTCTCACTCTCTCTCTTCTTCTCTTTTTCTCTCCTCTCTCTCCTCTTTCCTCTCTCTATCATTCTCCTCTCCTTCTCTTTCATCTTCACTCCTCTCTCTTCCTTTCTCTTCCCCGCTCTCTCTACCCTCTCTCCCTTCTCTCCTCCTCTCTTCCTCTCTGTCTCTTTTCCTTCCCCCCCTCTTCTCCTCTTCTTTTCTCTGTGTCTCTCCTCTCCTCCCCTGTCCTTTTCTCTCTTCCCCCCCACCTCTCCCTTCTCCTTTTCTCTCACTCCTCTCTCTTCTTTCTCTTCCCGCTCTCTCTGTCTCCTCTCTATCCCCCCTTCTCCTCTCTCCCTCTCCCTTCTCTTTCCTCTCTCACTCCTATCTCTTATTCTCTCTCCGCTCTTCTTCTCTCTCTCTCCCCTCTCTCTCTTTTTTTCTCTGTCTTCTCTCCTCCCCCTATCTCTCTCTCTTCTCTCGGCCCTCTCATCTTTTCTCGCTCTCCTCCCTCTCGCTTCCCACATCCTGGTTTGTCTCACCCACACAGGATGTACTCGCGCTTGTTTGCCTGTTATTTCCCTGGTCTGCACGTGCGCCACGGCCAAAACCTTAGCTCCATTCCAAACAAAAATATAACGTGGAGTGGGACCATAGAAGTGGACGAGCCCTCAGAGCTGAGCCGTGCCAGCGCCTAGGAGCACGGGGCCTGGAACGATCTGAGGTGTGTTAAGACACATCCAGGCTACTCAGATTTGTATGTGTGGTTAAAGCTGCCAGTAAGACACTCTGTAATGGGTTTACTGCTGCTGTGCTAAGGCTAATGCTTCTGCTATACCGCTAATGCTACTGCTATGTACTAATGCTACTGCTAATGCTGATATGCTATGCTACTGCTGCTACTGCTAATGCTTACTGCTAATGTACTGCTAATTGCTACTGTGCTACTGCTACTGCTGCTTGCTAATGCATTACTGCTACTGTGCTACTGCTAATGCTACTGCTAATACTGCTAGTACGGTGTTATACTATGCTATGCTACTGTCCACAATAATAAATCTGACAGCATGATAACAGCTGTTGCGAACTCTTGTTAATATCCTACTCTGACTCCGCCCCTCTGACAAATGCTCTCGGCTGATCCAATCCCAGCATTTTCCCTCTTTCGTCATGGTTCTTTTGCCTTTGGGCTTGTTTTGTGAAGGAATCCCGACAACTTTCTATTTTCGAGGACGACTTCTGCATTGATTTAGGACTATAAAGTCTTGCGCCTAAAATAGTTTACATATTTTAAATTAAAATCAATAATAGCTTGAAAATCTATTAAATCAACTGCTAAACTTGGAACGCGGTCTGAACGGAGCCTGGAGGGCTTTTTAAATAAATACTTAATTAAATCCATAATTTTTTAATTGCATTCTTATTATTAGTATTATCTATAGAAACTTAAATGACTTCATGAATAGACCAATATTGCAATTTTAAATTACTAAATATATATTATGAGCCCAAGGTGTTTGCTAAAGCAAATACAAAAATGCACCATTTTGATTTTTAAGTCACCATAACTACCTTATATTTCTCTCTCTCCGGCTGCAGCGAACGTCGTCCTTGCCATTTGTCTCCGCCCAGGTTGGTCTACTGCAACGCACTCCTCATCGGGATCCCTGGCAGGAGCCTTCAAAAAGCTCCAGTACGTACAAAACAGGTGGGCCAGGGTCTGATGAGGGTGCGGAAGCATGAGCACATCACCCCCATCTTCACACACTCCTGGCTCCCCGATCACTCCCGTATAGAATACCAAGATCCTCCTGACACCCCACCACTGTTCCCCCCCCGGTGGATTGCCTACCTCACTGGACCTCTCATCCTACACTCCTCATGCAGAACCCGGTCAGGGCCACCAGCACAGTTGCTCCCGGCCAGGAACGGCTCAAGAAAATGGGGGACGGGCCTTCGAGGCCGCTGGCTCCCCGTCTGTGGAACGCCCTCCCGGACCACCATCAGGGCCCACAGACGGTAGGAAGCTTTTACAATAAAAGGATTAAAACCATCTTTTAACTAAAAGCGTCTGCTAATTTTTTATGTGTGTCTTTTTATTGATTTTATGTGTTTGCTTTTATTTATGCTGCTGTTTGTAGCACTTTGAGATTTGGTGTCAAAAGTAAAGTGCATTATAACTAAAATGCCATCATTTCCATCCATCCATTTCTTCCGCTTTATCCGTTGCCGGGTCGCGGGGGGCAGCAGTTAAGGGCAGAGACACCCGACTTCCCTTTTCACAATCACACTTCCTCCAGCTATCCGGGGACCCCAGGGCGGATGTTCCAGGCCAGCTAGAGACATAGTCTCTCGCGTGTCCTTGGTCTTCCGGGGGGACCTAATTAAAAATGTGTTATTATTATTAATTTTATTACTTATAACTTTTTTTGCTCTGGTTCACCTTGTATCTGTCCTCCACATCCTTGCTTCTACTTTTATCACCAATATTTCTCTCACCTATTAAGTGAAGCATACAACAACAAACTTTTTCAAGACTTTTCAAACCTGGATGAATAAGGTGAATACTTAAAATAACACAGGTCGCACCAGTTGTGGCATTCTCAAAACACACATTTATGAGTTATTTGGTGTAATAAAAAAGTGTGTTAATGCACTAAAACTCACACAACATTCTAAATGCAGTATTCTATGTAGCAACCAATGAACAGAAGCGTGTGTGACATCACCATAGTGTCCGCCCGCGATGGAACAAACTGTTAAAATAAGAGGTCTCTTTAGTTCACAGAAATGTCCCCTTGTAAAAAACAATCTGATAAAGACTTGGAGCAGAAGTTGGCTGGTTGGACACTGGTGAAGTTGTTATCTTAAATGGCTCGTTAGCAAGTAAGAGGACCCACAAAACATGACGTAGAGGGCCGCAGTTGTCCAGCGAACATAGTTTGGACGTTGTTATGCCGAAGGTGGCGGGAGGGCATTTGAAGATAGCTACGTGGAGCTATTTTCCTTATTTGGCATTTGTTTCGACGTTCATGCTTAGCGCCCGTCACTGGCAGAGTGTTTTTGGGGTGTTTTTTTTTGCTACGACGGTTGCTAAGGCATGCTGGAGTTTCCCCCACAGTTTTTAGCCATATCCTTATATTGCTCAGGATTTGGATTCCAAAGACAAATCTAAAACCCAGGGCGCGATAACCCACAGATTCTTAAGCCAAAAAAAAGGTGATTGTGACCACAAATGTTTACCGAGATAGAGTGCTTTTTATGTAAAGTCCTATTTGCAGGGATTAGTATAACCTGTGGTCGTTGTCCAAAAAATTACCGCCCCACCTCTGTGAT